CAGAACAGAAGTATCAGCATCTTCGGGCTTTTGTCAGAAAAGCCATTTCTGGGGCCACTCCAGACCCAGCAGGTGGTCAGCCACCTGAGACTGGGCCCAGGCCCTGTGTTCAACAAGTCCTCTGGGTGGCACTGATGGGGCTCCAGTTCAAGGCCCACTGTCCTCCTGTGTGGATACAATGCTACCATGGACATTGAGTCCAAGTATCCTAGGAGGCAACACATGCCTTTTACTAAGGATCCCAATTAAGGTTATCTGTTTTCAGCTTGATATCTGTCATAATCAGTACTCCTTAAAGAGCTACCTTTATCAATATTTTAGAATAATGCACTGTGTTAGACAGCTTTCTATCACTAGCGCATATACTCGTGCAGGGTGTAGTGGCGCATGCCTGTAATCCCAGCTCTTGGAGCCCAAGGTAGGAGTAGGACAAGTTCAAGGCCAGTCCAGACTATGGAGCAAGACCCTGTCTCAAAAAAGGGCTTGGGATTTAACTCAGTGGCATAAGTGCCTGCCTGGCAAGTATGAAGTTATGAATTCAATCCCTGGTACCAAAAAAAAAAAAAACCCCAAAAAACAAAAACAAAAACACAACAACAAAGATACAAATACTTGCAATAATCAACTCATTAAAAGAAAAAGTTGGTTCTAGCTCCCAATTTTAGAGGCATCAGCAATCTCTGATTGCTTGACTCTATTCTTTGGACCTACAGTGGCACACAAGGGCAAGAGGGAAGCCACTCTCCCTATGTCTGGACAGTAAAAGAGGGAAAGTGGACAGAACAGGGTTTCACAATGTCCTTTACGGATACAGCCCCAGTGACCCGAGACCTCCCACCATCCACCTGTAAAAGTCTGCCGCCTCCCACTGAGGCAAACTAGTGCTCAAGCCTTTAACTTGTGGCTTTTTGGGGCCATCCCTTTTCCAAATGGCAGCAGAAGCTTGTAAGATAAAAAAACAAACAAAACTTGAAAGAAAACAAAGTGCCAAAAATAATTTCAAAATAGCTAGACAATAGGATCTTGAATGTCTGACCACAAAATGAGAAGATCATTACACAATGCACGCATGTATCAAAATATCATATCGTACTCCGTAAATATGTACAATCACTGTAAGCCAGTTAAAAATAAACTTTAAAAACAATAAGGCATAATTTGCATTTTTCCCCTTGTTCATAATGCTAGATTTCTAGTTGTTTAGCCTTTTATCCCTTTAGATCTAAGACGAAACCTTATCACACCTCCCCCTGAAACTTCACTGATGTATGGTCCTGGACGTGTTTCACTTTGCCTTTAACCCGAGGACTTTCTATTCTTATTTCTCTGTTGCTCGCACATTTTTTTTCTCTATCTTTCAATTCATTTTTATTTCCACATTTAAAAGACATAAGTGGTGAAAATGTCTGTGGTCTTTTGTTCCACCATTTAGTAAAAGAAAGAAAAATTAAGAATGATCCAACCTCAGTGAGAATGGTCCTAACCAAAAGAAAACCAACAAAAAAACAGGAAGACAGGTAACACATCTTAAAAGGAATCTATTTTAATTATTTAAAAGCAAGAAAACATAGAACATTTTATTGTTGCCCTGTGTAGGATACAATTATTTCTTCGATGCACTTCCTTGTGAGTTATGGCAACATGTTGGCCATGAGATGATCTCTTCAGGTAACTTCTCTAGTTTTTAGCCCAACCTTTGTCAAAAACTGAATTTCAAACAGAAACTGATGAAAAAGATGCAATTAATGCCATTAAAGTGATCTCACACAGTTTGGAAAGTTCTAGGTGCTCCAGAGAGCTGGGCTCAACAGTGGGTAGACCTCCTGCTTTCCCAACATGATTGGGGTAGGGGGACTGAGGAGCCAAGCCTGATTTCCCAGCGAGTGACTATTGAGACAGAACTTGAGGGCTCTCCTGCTCCCCACCAGGCCCTGTGGCTTGGAATCCTCTTTATGTGAGGCAGCTACTCCTACATGCATCCAGAGGGAAACTGCTGGCCTCCGCCGTGCAGCGAGACATTTGGGACTCTGTATTACTACCCCAGTGGTGTACAGAATAGCAGCTTTCAGGCAGTGCTTTGTCCTGTGCGATTCTGTTTGCAGTTTTACACTATTTTGAGTAGAAATGTGAGGCAGGATGACTTGATGACTTGTAGGTACTGATAGATAACCACCAGCTATTGGACATAAGAGACTCATTGAGAAAAATAACTCCGAGCCACATAGCAATGCCATAAGGCACAGACTGATAAATAAACAAATCATGCTAACAAAAGTCACCATTTATAAATTTATCAAGTTAAATCAAGGACACATGAACTCCCAATGTAAAACCAGACCTGTGAGTTTATGGGACTCTCCAGACCAACAAAAACTGCAATCGTCATCTAGATTATATAAAGAAAGGAACCCCATTACTGGAGGGCAGTGGCGCCATAATGACACGTCATCTCATTAGACCACCAGCTAAATGTGTCGTGAGATAAACAGGCCACAGACTCCAGCTCTCTGTCTCTCAGCTTCAGCTCATCTGCATCTTCCTGGCTGATGAGCCAAAGTCAAATGCCCGCCATTCACACTCAGATTCAAACCACTTCAGTGCTCTCAACAAGCCTGGCGCTGGGGGCTCCTCCTCCTGGAAGTCAGGCCTGGCCTGTGACCTTCCAGCCACCTGTGGTGATTCTTCATGTCTCTGTAGATTCTACCTTGGCTTTCAGCCCTACCTCCCCAATCCTGTAGCCACTGCTAATCCTTTCTTAGCTATTTTGTAATTATTGGGTGAAGTGTGATGTGTGATTTGAATGTCACAGAAATTAGTAGCTAACTTTGGAATAAAAGAACCTGTGTAATTGCCCAGTTTACAGGTTACTGAGTGAACCTTGAATAGTCAGCCTCATAACACTGATGACACTGATGTAACTTGTGGATTTACTATCATTCAGTACATGCTGACACTGGGAAGGACACAACATGTCTGATCTATGTTACTGGCATAAGTCACGACAGTAACCAACTGCTCCACTGAGAGAAGGCTGCATTTTGTGACCACCTCCAAATGATTGGGGGTAAGAAAATAAGTTTGTTTTCATTATAATTTGACAAATATATACAGCCATAAAAAGAGATCTACTTCCGTCCTTCCTCCTCTTCCTGCCAGCCCTTGGCTGAGGCTGCCTTGGGCAAAACTCCAGCAGGCCTGCCTTTCACGCATCACTTCCTATGCTGTCTTTCCAGAAACTCCTTTCTCAGCGAGTCTGTATCCTTTTGCATATGAACTGTCTAAAGCACAGGTGAACTATATTTCTCAACAGAGCTTGAAGGCGGTTTCATAGCAATGTTACAGAATTATCTCCCAAACTGCCCGATAATTGTCATTGTGATCAAAGGGAAACCAGCGAGACATTATCCAGTAAAAGAGTGGGCAGCAGGATGGGAGTCTTTAAGGCCTGGTTCTGGGTTCCCAGTTCTGAATTGGAAACATCTCACATGGCTGCATTCTCTCATACAAGCTCAGGTCACACCATTTCAAACAGTTTGTGGGTCCCTCAGTGCCACGAACCACCCAGCGTGCTGCAGAGGGAGCCATAGGAACCCTATTCGGCTTATGCTACAAAGAAAAAATTATCACAGTACTAAAAACTGCCATTTTTTTAGTTCCAGGGTCTTTCTTGGTGCCAGCTGAGGCCTCTGGACGATGGCAGTGGGACCAGGAGAACCACTGTGTCCGGGCTCCAACTCCTGCCCCATTGGGCAGGAAACTCCAAGGAGCCTTGCATCGGAAGCTATGGGCAACAAACTTTCAACCTCCATCATGATTTTATTTTAAAATCTTAGGAACATAAGTTTCCCAGCATACTCTTGAAACACTTAGGGAAACCTAAGTATATATTAGTGGCTGCCTCCTTCTTTAAAAGAAGGCATAATGAGCTTTGCAAAGCTAATTGTATTAATGTTAAAAAAAATAGATTAACATTGAACCCAGTATCATAGACTCCAGCATCTTCAGGATTTGACACATGCTAGAAATTTGGGGCAGAGCTAGATCTAAGACAATCGATCAGCGCTATATTCTTGATAGGTCACCAACAAGCTAGGGTCACTTGTCACCTAGGACCAGTATTTGAATCTGAGTATTCTGAGTCTGAAATAGCATCCCCTACCCACACAGCACCATGGTTACCACCCACCCCAGTTTCTTGAATTCCTTGTTTTCATTATATCTTGAAGCACTCTCTCCAACAGCTTTTACTTGAAAGGAAAGAGGGAAAAACAGGTGGAGGTGGATGGTATGCTGAAAGGGTTAAATGGCTGCTTATTAGAAACAACAACAACCCACAGCTCACAGGCAGCAGAGGCCAGCGGAATAATGACTTCTGCTCCCCTAAATTCTAATCACTTGTTACCAGCTCTACTTAAGCTCCCTTCAAAGTGTGGTTTTATAATGCTTCTCAAACCTAAAATGTCCTAAAATCACACAGAGGGTTTATGAAACCACAGATTCCTGGCCCACACCTACGAAGACTGTGATCAAGTAGGTGTAGAGAGTTCTATAAAGTTTTCTAGGGCTTCCAGTTCACATACCACACTCTAGGGAGCCCTGAAAGAAGAAACATCGGAAATTGCTTAAAATGAAATGACTATTTAATGGACTGTTACGATTGGACGTGTCTCCTAAAGGCTCAGATCTAAAGGCTCAGCCCCCAGTCTGTGGTGCTATTTAGGAGATGCAGGAACCTTTAAGAGGTGAATGAGGCTTAGTGGGGAGATCATTGAAACAGATAGTAGGGACCCATCTCTCTTACTTCCTCTTTATCTTCAGTCACTGTGAGGAGAGCCGCTTCCTTCACCAGATTCCCAGCAGAGCCCAAGAGCAATGGAACCACCTGATCATAGGCTGAAACCCCCATAACTCTGAATCAAAATGAACTTTTCCTCTTTTTAAATTGATCTATCTCAGGTATTTTGTCAAAGTCACGGAGAGCTGACTAGCAGACCACTCACCTACTTCTCTCTGTTCCTTCTTTCTCTTGCCCTCTCTTGGACAGTACCTTACACGTTTGCTTCCAGGCAACTGGATAACAGGGAGGAGGAGACAGCATTCCATTCCGTTCTGGAATGTTGCAGCTCATTAGCAATTTTTACTAGAGGGCAGGGAGAGTCCAGCTGAGACCAATCAACCCAACAACTGAAGTCAGGGATTGTTTCTTTGTGGGAAGCTTATTATTACCAGTGGCTTGTTCCAGAAAGATGTTCATGTACAAAAATATTTTAAGATTTCTTTCAAAAGCTCAAAACTGTTGACAAGCCAGAGAAAAGGCAAAATGTCTTGTTTTTAAGAAATCATCATTTTCTCATATTGAACAAGAATTGGGAAGGCAGAAATATGCTTTGAGGAAACTCAAACAACAAAATAATGAATTGAATGCAGGACTAGAGTGTCCCAGGCCTGCTCATGGACAGGGACAGTTTTTGCATTGGCAAGCGTATGCCAGACAGGAAAAAGAACTCAGTGATCAAAAGAGAGAGTGGGAAAGAACATAAACCCAGCCTTAAAGAGATGCAGGAGGTGTTGGGGTGCTTATCCGGCAACCGGAGGGACCCTGTCAGCTGCCAGGAGCTAGTGAGACCTTACAGTGAGGCTCCTTGAAAACTGTACTCTGCGGGGCTGGAGGTTTAGCTCAGTGGCATAAGCGCTTGCCTTGGAAGCAGGTAGTTGTGAGTTCGATCCCCGGTACCGATAAAAAGGAAAAAGACAAAAAAAAAGAAAGAAAACTGTACTCTGCTTGGTGGCAGAAGACTGTGCCCCACTCTGGGACAACCAAATCCAAGGACTGCAGGGGTAGAAAGGTTGGATCCCTATGATGGCTAATTTTGCACCCTTGTAACTGGATGTTTAGTCAAACATTCTGGATGTTATTCTGGGTGTTTGTGTGAGGTATTTTTGTTGTTTGATGGATTTAAATTGGCAGGCTTTGAGTAAAACAGATTGTCTTAGTTACTTTTTTCTCATTGCTGAGACAAAGTGCCTGACCCCCAAAATAGAGGAAGGTTTATTTCTTACAGGTTGGAGGTGTCAGTCCATACTCAGCTGGCTCCAAGCAGCAGGGTGGCATGCCAGGCCGTCCTTCATGGCTGGCTGCAAACAGCAAGGTGCAAACCTGCAAGACAGAAAGACATACCTTTTTCCCTGCCTTTACACTGTATATTGGTTCCACTCCTGGGTGGGTATAGCACTCACACCACCAATCCCAGTGCTAAACAGTTGGTCACGTCCATAATTGTATGAGGCTCGGGAGCCACTGACATAAATCATGACACAGATCATCCTCCACAATCAGTTGAAGGTCCTACTAGAACAAGGACTCACTTCCCCAGCAAGAGGGAATTTTGCTAACAGACTATTTTTGGACTTGAACTGAAATTCTTCCATAAGTCTCCATACTGCCAGCCTACCCCTTCCAAATTTGAATCTGCCCATCTTCACAGTTAAGTCATTCAACCAGTTCTTTAAAATAAATCAGTCTCTTAACTCTCCCCTTTCCCCTTCCTTCCCTCCCTCCCCTCCCCTTCCCTCTCTTCTCTATGAGGGGGCAAAGGCTTTTATCGCAGCTAATCAACTGCCCAATCCTTCTATCCAGTTCTGTATACTTAACTCCCTTCAAGTGTTCAGCCCAAGAATTCTCCTCATAAACTTCCTGCATACATATCTCTGTTTAGAACTGATGTCCTCAGAAACCCAATCTGTAAAAGGAGGGGTAGAGTTTGGACATGTGTGCACACATGCACACACACACACCCTCCCCGCTTTGACCTGCAAGACACAGAAACCTCATTTTCAGTGCCTTCACAGTCTCCCCAATGCTGATGCACAGTGTGGCACACAGCAGGGCCTACGTAAACGCTGGCCATTTGCGGTTGACTGACATAGTCAATGCTGAATCACTTCCTGACAATGATTCTCCTCCAGGGAGGCCACTTAATATAATCCCTTTCAGAGTCCTTCCTGAAAGGAGATCACTGAGTCTTTTTTTAATACCCCAGGGCAAACGTCTTACTTCTCCATAAGGAAGTCCACCTCTTAGGATATTTCTTGACATGTTGAACTGAAAACCCAAGTCCATCCGGGTCTACCTTTACAAGTATTAGTTCAAGCAATCTCTGTATAGAATTCTCAGCTCATTTTCTCTTGCTCTAACTGAATAACACAGACTGGGTATTTTATAAAGAAAAAAATTATTTCTTATAATTCTGGAAGCTGAGAAATCCCAAGGTCCAAGGTGTACAGGTGCAGGGCATCATATGACAAGACTCAGCAGGCTTCCTCTTTATTTTTTCTTCCACATTTTTATTAGTGCTTATTGTATATATATTGCTTTAGTGGATTGAATTAGTGCTTATTGGTTATATATAATGGTTTAATGGATTGCATTCTGGTAGAGTTACACATGCACATAACATACTTGAATCATCTCTCTATCACCTTCCCTTGCCCCATCCTGTCCTCTAGTTTCACATTTTGGTGGAGGGAGGGGTGTCAGGATGGATAATGGGGGAATGAATATGATCAAAGTTCATTATATACATTGAAGCCCTTCTGTCTTCTTCTAAAGCCACAAGTGCAATCATGAGGCCCTGCCCGCATGATTTCCTATAATCCTAATTAGCTCCCAATGGTTTTGCTTCCAAATACCATTGACATATGACTTTAGGAAATAAGTTTCAACATGAATTTTGGAAGGAACAAATGTCCAGACTAGGGCAATATGGAAACCCTTTCATATTTTAAAGTGTTTAAATTTCTAACTGCCCCTGTTCCTTCATTTAGGACACACTCTTTAGTTCTTGTTCTTCCCTGATTACCCCACCGTTTTGCCCCAGAGACAAAATCACAGAACACTGGAGCAACACAGGCTCACTTATCTGGTTTTGCCATCAAGAAACATACAGGGTGCTGGGATACCCAGCCCACAATCAGAGACCAGTGGCGATTACCCCTCGGTCTATTTTACCCCATATCCTGTCCCTCTGGAAGTGTTCAGAGTCATGCAGCACAAAGACTGCCCACTATCTGGTCCTGGATACCTAAGAAGGCACTGGAAAACATCAAACTTATAACAGTCTCATTCCCCTATTGACTTGATTCTCCCTCCCAAGACTGCGAGTGGAGACATCCTGAGAGAAAGCAGATGGAACTGGATCATGTTTGGAGTTACTGCTTCTGGGACTCATTGGTCCTGGGCATCTTTCCCTGCAGGGTTGGTAGTATGGTTTCCCCCTCTTATGCAAACAGCACAAGCAAAGTTGGCTACCCTGGGACTCTGTTTCACAGAATTTCCTTCTCTGTATGTTTTTAAGTTAGACTTGGCCAAAAGAAGAAAACATTGTACCACATATGAAAAGTGGAAGCACCCAGCAAGCCTCACTTCCTGAGAGTCTTCGTGGTTCCATGCTGCAAGACACATACACAGCGCCAGCAGGTCCCATCTGGTCCTTGCTGTGCCCTGCTGTGCAGGCAGGGGTCTCCAGTTTAGCTGCTGGTCCTGCAGGCCGACACAGCAGCCACAGCCTTCCGTAGACTTCTCCCCAGCTTCTCTTCACCAGTCCTCTCAGGCCCTGGGAACCTGGCCCCCGGTGCTCCTGAAAGCCTAATCATTCCACCCACACCTGTGATTCAGAAGATTCACGACCTTTCCTGGACCTCCAGGGCCCTCACTAGATGCTGCTTCCCCAACCCCTCCTATGATTGTGCAAGATCCAGTTCCTACCATATCCCTTATTACATTGCCACAAACAGTTGTAATAAAAGTTTAGGATATTTACAATGATGTTGAAGGCACATTTTGCAAGACAGCAGAATCTCTCTAAGGAAAGGCTGCCTTACCCTAGCTCTCACAGTCTTTCTCTAGTTTGCTGATTTGTTACCCAGATAACAGTAAGTCCCAAGATCTAGATGTAGGAAGACAAATTTTCTCCTTTAAAACTCATCCAACTTCTTTATTCTGCCTAATACCAGAGATTCCTTAATTCAGTGAACTATTGGCTCCTTCTCAGCCATTAACAAAGTCAGTACTTTGGGTTTTCACTAGTTTTCTTAACCTCCATGATCAGAACCAAGATAGGAGAGGGGGTCTTGCTTGGGTCCTTACCCCCAAATGTCATCAAAGCTGTTTTTCATCTGTCTTACCTCCATAAGGAAAGGGGCCACATCTGGCTTGGTTACCGTGACACTCCTACCTAGCACAGTGTGGTTGCTCTCTATCTATATATATTAACTGATGAACATGTTTGGCCAGAAAGACACCCACTGATTTTGTTTTCCCTCTTAATGATGACAGGTTGACAAACATTAGAGACAAAATGTTCCTTTTAGCCCACTGGAAATAAAAAGCCATACCTTGTGTCTGCCAGAGTTTTTTTGTCAAAGCTTCCCCTGCCAGAGAGCCCTGTGTGGGAGTTTTCTCCCAAAGCAGTAAATAACAATTTACACCCACCCTCACAGGCACACTGTTTTTTATTGACTAAATATAAATGGATAACCACAGGCTACTTCAGGGAGACCCACACTGTGGCTCGCCACCTTCCTTGTGTGGGATGATGCACCCCAGTCCTCCTGTGTCCTCCAGAGATGACCCATACTGGGCCAACCACCCCCAATCCTGGGGCCAATGAAGGTCTGGCTCTACCAAGTGCCAACATGCTGTCACTTTATTTCATCTGCAAGATAACCATTTCTTAACACGAAGGGTTATATCTCAAGGGATTCCTTAGGGACACTCAAATTCCAAGTCTTCAAAAATGAGACAGAGCGGAAAATTAGCATTTCCCACGAGACAGCACTATTACATAGCGATGGAAAAACTCCTGTGACTTTGGTGGCTGCTCCTCCCTGTCACCTCCTTTGTTTTCAGATTTAGGCTTTGGAGCTTCCTCTTCAGGGATGCTTCCTATGGCCACCCTTTAATCCATGTGAGGAAACATCATCATATGTATGCACTGCATTGTCAAAACAAGTCCATAAATAGGACTAGCTGTTCCTGCTGTATTGGAAAAACAGAAATCAAAGCTACTAGACAACTTGTGCAAATTCACCCAGCAAATAAATAGTGAAACCAAAACAAACAGCCATAGGGAGATAGAGAGGTTAGGAGTTTGAGAGATGGGGAGTGAGGGAGGAAGGGAAGGAGAGCTCTCAGGATCTCATAGCATTTGCAAGTGTGATTATTTGGGGGACATAGTTATTGGCTAGGACTGCTGTCATAAAGTACCATGAATTGAGACGGCTTAAACAAGAGCAGTTCGTTTTGTTTTTGCCTCACAATTCTGGAAGTCAAAGGCTTGAGATCAAGATATGAAGCAAGGTTAGTTTCTTGTGGGTGCTGGAGGAAGAATCTGTACCATATCTTGGTCATTTTCCTCTTCACTGAGATAAAATACCCAACACCCATAGTTTAAAGGAGAAGTTTATTTTTGGTTCATGGTAATAGTGCCTAGTCAACAGGCTCCAAGGCAGAAACTGCAGGGTGGAAGGGTCTGCCAGAAAACAGCTGCTCACATCATGACAGCCAGGAAGCAGACAGAAGGAGGAGCCAGGGAAAAAGATACTCCCTTCCCTTCCCGGTCACAGCCCCATTGACCGGCCTCTAATAAGGCCTTGTCTCCTAACAGTATATTCACTGCTCGAGACACGTGTAGATGAATCCACTGATAAGCACAGTGTCCTGTGAGCTAATTACCTTCTAAGAGCCCCAGCTCTGAGCACATACATGCTTGGGGTTGGGAAGACACTAGATCTGAACCATAACCCGTGTTTCTGCTCTGACTTCTGATCATTTCCAGCAATCTTTGACTTTGGCTTGTGGAAGCATCAATCAAGTCTCTGTCTTCTTTTCTCTGTCCAAATTTCCCCTTTTCATAAGGATCCACTCATACTGGATTGAGAGCCACATTGACGAGTTCAGTTTAACTTGATCACATCTTCAAAGATCCTATTTCTGAAACAGATCACCTTCCAAAACAGTGGGAGTTAG